AGCGCAGCCGGGAAGGTGCGCAGCTGCTGCGGGCTCTGCCGGGTCACCCGCCGGCTGCGCGGAAAGCGGCTTTTTGGAGCCTCCTGGTGGTAATTAAAAGGCTGCGAGCTTGAGGGCACGGGAAGATCGGTAGCCAAGCTCTCACAGAGAACTGCAGAAGTGATCGGGGGGGGGGGGGTGTTTGTTTTCCCCCCCTCACCCCGGGATTTTTTGCTTCGCATGTGCCCCATCTCCCCTGCTAGGATAGGAGGAAAAAAAAGAAAAAAAAAGGGTTTTTTTAATGCAACAATACAATATTGTTGGCATGCATTGGATGTGTTATCTGCAACAGCCTTTTTATCACTACTGTAGCTGAGCCAGCTGTTCTTAGTCTTGTCTTTTCTCGCGGCTGATAGTGTCTTGAGAACTAGAGTACCTCTCTTTCAGCCTCTGCCTCGTTTGCCTCCCCTAATGATGGTCTGTGGTAACAGTGTCGCTTCTTGGTCCCCATCTGACTTGCACAATAGCACGCAAGTGTGGCGGTTTCAGAGGCACTCGTCCGAAAGGATGTCAAAACATCAACTGGTTTCTAAATGATTCAGATGGTTTTTTGGATCCTCCTTGGGGAAGGGGAAAATGGGACAACCTGCTTTTGATCTACAGAAAGACATTTATGGGTCAAAAGCTGTAGTTTCTTTAGCTTATGTTCTCAGGAACAGTGATCTCCCTTTTCCTTGTTAGAGGTTAATTATTTGATGTTGCTGTGATGCCTATGAAGCCGTAATATAGGCGTGTGAGCTCTCATCTTGCTCCACTCCATGCGCAAAACAAAAAGACAGCCCTTGCCTGAAGGTACTTCCAGCCTCAATTTAGGAAAGGGGCAGCACATGCGTGTGGCAGTGGGAGTATGGAGAAAGACAGTGCTGAACAGCAATTATGCTGTGGCTTGCTAGTTAGCCTAAAGAAAAAATGAACTCTTTTGTTCCTAGGCCTTGTGCCAAAAGAGGGTTAGGGGTGGATGTGGAAGATAACTGGAAAGCTACAGACTTCAAGCTTTCACTTAGAGTCCATTTCCTTATCTGTAGCAAGCTCTGTCTATAATTGAAGCACTCAAACCTTCTCAAGAAGATGCTTAGGAACGCTGTGGGCACTTGGCGTTTCCTTAGGTAACTCAACCAGGGCTTAGCGACCTTAATGGTTAAACGTGTTTCCTGCTAGTAGCCACTGAAAATTGAACTTTACTGCAGTTAAAAGCCACTTCTGCTTGCTGTGAATGTAGAAGAAGGGAATAAATGTTTGCCTCTTTCTTCACATAATTGACTACTGTTGTCATTTTTTCCTTTTCTCTGTTAAGCCTTTCCATTTTTAAAATTTTATCACTTTTCTTTAGACTTCTGATCATTCTTGTAGCTCTCTTAGAGCCTAGATGTTTCATTTTCAAGTATGGTCCTAAAAACCAGCCTCTTGTCACTACTGCAGCTGAGCCGCTTGTTCCTTGTCTTGTATTTTCTTGCAGCTGATAGTTCCTGTCGAAGAACTAGAGTGCATATCTTCTTGAGTTACACTGTACCTTTTCATATTGCTTCTGAAGACTACTTTAAATTCTAATCCTATCCTTTTGTGCTGTTTGAATAAGGAGGTAGCTGCATAAATGTCTATAGGAGCAGCATTCTGTGGAGCAGGTGCTTGTCCTTGCATTGAACAAGTAGGTGATGGGGTCCGGTGTCCTGGGGTAGGATGACATAGGAGGCCAAAATGACCCTTTAGTGTGGTCTGAGAGTTATAGGATGAAGCTGGGTATACTGACCTTAAATAATATTCTTTATGAGTTGTATCTTCTTTTAATGGCCGGGTTTGTCTAGTGTAGTGTGTCTTTAGTCCCTTTCTCTTTCTGAATGCAGACACTCATACCCTCTTACATGTGTATCTTCTTCCCTATTTAATTATTAAACAGGTATTTAATCTGTAATAATTCTGACATTCTGTGATAATTTCACCATAGTAATATTTGAATTAACTTGTAGTTAAATCGGTGAATATTTTTCATATATAGTCTTTACTTATTCAGCTTCTTTAATGGCTTCTATTGTCTTTATTGGCTCATACATAAATATTCAAAGGCTGCAAGCATGCTGATCTGAGGTGCTTGAACATTCAGCTTCTCGGTAGTAATGGGATTTTTTCATCTTAACTGCCAAATGTAGAGTTCAGGTTTATAGTGACTAATTACATGTAGATTTAGGGAAGCATATTGAGAAATAAACATTGATTTTAATTAAGTATACAAGTTACTTTTCCTTGTTACTTAGACTTACCGTACATGACTAGTTGGGCACTCGCTGTGAAAATGATCCCACCGGTAACTATGTAGTGCACTTTGAACCTGAAGAGGGGATGTGCCTTCCCACTGTGTTAACTTGTAAGCAGTGGCCCTGAACTGTGTGTGATGGGAGAGAGAAGATACGCTGCCTTGGGCACCCCTGGGAGCCCTTGCAGGAGTCTCTGGGAGAGATGTGTGGCTGTGTCAACAGAGGCAGCACGATATCTGGAGCAGAAAAATCTGTGCTTGCCCTTTGCATCTCTCTCTGACCAGGAAGACAGATGGGGAGCTGGGGAAGCACCTCAGTGAGCATAGGCATAAGGCTTCTGTGCAAAAGTTGTCTCCTCCTGTAGGAGAAGGTGGGGACCGACAGCTGAACAGACCTTTGCACGGGGAGGAGGATCTGGAAGAAGATGCTCAGCTCTGAGGAGAGACCTAGAGACCTAGGCTTTTTCTGTGTGTATCTAGCTGGGAGGGAATGGTGAATGCCAGTGAAGCTGCCTCTCCTCTTAGGGAGAAATGTTCACTGGTGCCTCAGACTGCACTAAAGAGAGGGTTTTTAATTTGTTCCCTAGGGATGTTACCTATTGCTTTGTCATTAAGACCTCTGTCATCATTTTTTTTTTTTGCAGGTTTCACGTAAACTGTTTACCAGTCATGCCTCTGCATGTCCCATACCTAAGCTGATAAAGCATCTATGCACTTTAATCTCAAGTCTATGCCACTCTTCTAGTACAGTGTGAGCTGTGCCTTGAACCTTGGATATAAAGATCTACCAGCCAAAGTCTTGTTCCTGCCTTAGTAATGTTCCAGAGGTTAAATAACATGCTCATGGGAGAGATTAATAGCTTGTCCAGCCAAGAGCCAGAGTTCAGTGAGAAAGAAGATGACGAGTGGATTCTGGTTGACTTTATAGGTAAGACGTCTGTCAAACGTAAGCTCTACTTAGAAACCAGTAGCTTGGGAGAAACTTTACCTAAGCAAAACCAGTGTGGATTAGAGCATAGGGTGTCTTCCAAACAAATGTACCAAAACATGTTATGTAAACTGATGAGAAAAATGATGTCAGATTTATAAGCCTGACACAGGCTTCAGCAGAACCACTTGTACAGATAAAATATGTTTGATTTATTAAGCAATTGTATTGCTTTACTGATAACAGTTGTTTTACGTGTCTAGCATGGCTCATCAGGGAACTCCCTTTTCCCCTCCCCTTGCTTTTAAAAAAAGTAATAAAAATTTGTATATGTGCTGATAGGGGTTTATTTCTGTTTCTTTGTTGGTTTTTTGATATCCTGTTTCTGGCTACGTGCAACCTTGTTGCGTCCATGGGTTCCTCTCTACTGACTAATGGCCACCTACAGCGGACACTTGCACTAATTGCTCTGTGGAGGAAGCAGACATCACTGAAGCATCGGCTGTGGATGGCTCTCCTGTCTTCTCTTGTTTACCGTCTCCCTTGGAACACTTGCCAGAGGCCAGCGAGTCTTGCTTCATCCAGTTTGAGTCATGTCCCATGGAGGAGAGCTGGTTTATCACCCCTCCCCCATGTTTTACTGCAGGTGGATTAGCCACTATCAAAGTGGAAACCAGTCCGATGGAGAACCTCCTAATAGAGCATCCCAGCATGTCTGTGTATGCTGTCCACAATACCTGTCACGGCCTTAATGAGTCTGGATGTGGAGATGAGGAGTTTCACAGCCCAGGTAGTCCCAGGTATGTCTGACTTCTCCTGTCAAGGAGCTCTGTTGCTGAAAATATCTGGTTTCTACTTGATCAGCTTAGACACTTAATACTGAATTTTCCAGCTTATTTCAGCAAGTGAATAAAGCATGAATACTACACAAGGTGGGTAGGGTGGTCAGGGCTGCCTGCCTGCTTAGAAAAATGTTATACAAGATGACTGTGTCAGGAAACAGTTGGGGTATGCTATTTTGACACTGCAATGAATATTTATGGAGCCTAATTGTTCCCTTGCAGAATACGCTCCGGTCCTGTTGAAACTGGTGGCAGCTACCCATATAGCTGATAACGTAGATTTGAAAGCACTTTGCCCCCTCCAGAGCTATGTGTATTTTTCATAACTGTTAGTCAGTACCCTTTTAGTCACCTTGTGAGATGAAAAAATATTACTTTAATTATCCCTACAGGGAAGTCCCTTTTGGTATTTTTTGTTCCTCAAGGTAGTGATAGATTAGGACAGGATTAAATTTTTCCACAGGTGGCTTGTGGAAAAAAAGCAAACTGAAATATTCCACAAAACTTACTCCCTTCAAGGTAAAAAATAGTGCTGCAAACTTCTTACCTTGCTAAAAGTAGAAGTTACCTTGTTTGATTTTTGCAGTCCTAAAGATCCAGCCATGTGGAGTTACTGCAGATGCATGTTTGCCATGCACTGCTGCTTTGATGGTAACTGTCCAGTATATACAGCTATACAAGTATAGTATACATAGACGTATACAAATAGAGTATTTCTACCATTGTGACTCCACACTTGCCCATGTGTTCATTGATTTGGAAATAATTGGGTGTTTCATGAATCCTGGTTAATAGCAAAGAGTGACTTTTCCTCCAATCTGGTGCCTATGCTTAGAGACAATTGAAAATGGAAAGAAAAAAAAAATCACAGTATAGTAAGCTTTGTTACACAGGAAAAAATGAGTGTAGTGGTAGAGTTGCTGTAGGTAGATGCCCATTGACCTTTCTGATCACTTCCTTGCCATATTTAAAGTTCTTACTTCAAAGAAATGGGTGACTTGAGATGTCATGCTGCTGTATAATATTGAAGTATAGTGCCGATAATATTGAAGTATAGTGCCGATACCATTAATCTTGGAGAACAGGAGACTTGTATAAATATTTGGGGAGGGCAGTTTGTGATGTTAAGCATCAAGGGTCTAGCTTAACTTAAATCGGGGGGAGGGAAGCTATGAGCACATAGCACCTCTTAAAAGGAGGGTCTGAAGGAATTAGTAACACACAAAGTCAGTGTCTGACTTCTCTGTGACTTGTGAACAAGGCATATTGGTATAAATTCTTCTCTAGAAGAATCCTGTGTTATGCTATGTGGTACAGTTAAGCTGCTTTAATGTGTTGGGAAGCTAAAGGTGTGATGATCCTCGAGTGGTGTGCAATTAAGTTTTTTTCCACACTGAACTCTGTGCTGTTGCTTCGTCAGAGGATCTAGACTTTTGTATAAGAGTTATTTTGGGTGGCAGAACTGGGAGTAGAATTAAGTCTAAAGCTGAGGTAGACTACAGAAACTGGGAAAATCAATTACACTGATAATGCAGTAAGTTTCAAAAGCTGTTTTGAAGTGTCTAGTGGTTTAATGGTTGGCCATTTAACATTGTAGGGCCAAGAAAAGCTGCTTAAGGCACACTGGCACAGTAAGTACTACTGTTTTGGGACAGTGCTTTTTGTTTGATCAGGCTGCTAGCAACACTGCTTCCTCTAGAGCCTTGTCTGCCAAAACAATACTGGTTTCAGGACTAACCTTTGTGCCAAATGATGTTACTTGATCAAGCCTAACTACATCTGCTTTAACAGGCAAAATGCTAAGTGCAGAAAAATTACTTAAATATTAATTGGGGCGGGGTCTGAATACCTTAATGTTTCTTGTGAGGTCTGGCTCTATAGCACAACTAGCAGGACACTTTTGCTTTCTAGCAAAATAGATGCTGGGGACACAGCAGTGAATATATGTAGCAGCGGTCTGGCTTTAGACACAGCCCCTCTAAAATGACATTTTGACAACATTGATGGAGGCTCATAAGCCCTGTTCTTTCGGTGCCTGGAGCTCACTAGTGCCAGGCTACCAAAGAGAACTACTAAGATACCGAAATGCCGTATTAAAAGAGTATGGGGCCTTCTAGCTAATTCAAACCACCTCTGCTATCCTAGTTTCACTTCAAGGTGACAAATAGAAAAGTATTGGTTTGCAAACCACTGCTGGAAGTGTATTTGATAAGAGGGGAAAAAGCTTTAATATCTTCAGTCAGCAATTTAAACTGTTTTTTTCTCCTTTTGTGGAAGAAATCTATTTGCTCCTTTTAAATTCCTTTCAAAGCAAAAGGATGTCATATAAACTTCCCCCTGTTTGTCAGGTTAGTCATATTTTTCCATTACAAACCACAACGCTCTGTATTAGCAGTTGATGCCCTTCTCTAGCTAATGACATGCAGTGAGGGCATGCTTAGGAAATACAGGTTCTAGTAACACAACATGGTGTGGCTTCCTAGCTCCTTACAGTTTTCCCCTGTAAGACTTCATTTGGAGTTCTGCCTCCAGCACTGTTGAATGTTAAGGGATTGCCCTGCATAGAAGACAGTAGCCCAATATTTGCAGGCACCCTCATGTGAATTAAACTGGTGTAATCCGCAGAGAAAAATGTTTACAAGGCACTGTGAATTGATTTGTGCTATCTTACTTGTTTCTTGCTTTGTATTTCAAGTGCTAGGTTTAGGACAATATCCAGTTAATGAACAGGGGAAAACGAGCATGTCACACATGGCTATTCTGGAGTCTGTAGGCTTCAGTCAGTCATCTCAAGCTAGCGAAGGAGCCAAAAGCAAGTGGATTTGGATATTTAAAAGAAAGTAGAAGGGAGGAGTATTCCCTTGCTGACAGGGAATATTTTGCTCCAGTGTGAAGTCGGGGGAGGCAGAAGAGCTCACTTCTGTGCAGGCACCTGCAGCCCCCCCAAGAGCAAGGCTACAAGGGTGTACCATGGGCATGGCAGACCAGACTTGTCTACAGAGACATCATACAATAGAATCATAGAATCATTGAGGTTGGAAAAGACCTCTAAGGTCATCGAGTCCAACCGTCAACCCAACACCACCATGCCCACTAAACCATGTCCCTAAGCGCCTCATCTACATGTCTTTTAAATACCTCCAGGGATGGGGACTCCACCACTTCCCTGGGCAGCCTGGTCCAATGTTTCACCACTCTTTCAGTAAAGAAATTTTTCCTTACATCCAATCTAAACCTCCCCTGCCGCAACTTGAGGCCATTTCCTCTCGTCCTATCACTTGTTACTTCGGAGAAAAGACCAACACCCACCTCGCTACAACGTCCTTTCAGGTAGTTGTAGAGAGCGATGAGGTCTCCCCTCAGCCTCCTTTTCTCCAGGCTAAACAACCCCAGTTCCCTCAGCTGCTCCTCATAAGACTTGTTCTCCAGACCCCTCACCAGCCTCGTTGCCCTTCTCTGGACACGCTCCAGCACCTCGACGTCCTTCTTGTAGTGAGGGGCCCAAAACTGAACACAGTATTCGAGGTGCGGCCTCACCAGTGCCGAGTACAGGGGCACAATCACTTCCCTACTCCTGCTGGCCACACTAGTTCTAATAAATGCAAATTAAACTCTTCCAGAAGAGACTTTATTATAGAGTCATGCTAGTGCTGAAAAACAGACTTCCCAAGAGACCTCTTGCTCATGCCTGAGCAAGCTCCTGGTCTTGCAGACATCTTTCCTGGGCACCACTGAGTTGAAAGCTAGTCGTTGGGTCCTGGGCGGGGGCAGAGATGGCAAGCAACTCTGGTGCCACTGGTCTCACACCAGCTGTGGCATTCAGACTTGGAATTTGCTTTGCTTTTAAAACTGCCAGGCTATTTTTAGCTTTACTTTGGAAGTTTCAGGAAACACCAGTGATTGTTCTGTCAAGTAGGGAAGTCCTTTTTCAATATGTCAGTCCCTGCTTGCATAGGCTGCTGATTTGTTTTTTACTAGTGCATGATGGAGTAAGGGTTTGCCAAAACTGCTGACTCTGCTCATAAAATCTAGAGGGCTGGTTGAGGAACAATCCTTCTAAGTTTTCCTCTGTGTGTCACAACTGGTCTATCTTTCCCATTCCTCTGCATGAACATTGTTTGGATGTATTTGTGTGGCTGGCAATCCAAACACACTGTCATTAGTGTGCTCCTGTTTTTCAGGCTGAACCACCTATGCTCAAGACGATTTTTAAACCAAACTTTGCCTAGTGGATAACTCAAGTCTTCTAAAGCTGGAGCAGTGTGACACACATTGCCTTATATTTCTGATTTATATTGCATCTTGGGCTTAGGGAGGCGGGGTCAGGAAGGAAGGGCGCAATAGCATAATATGCCAAAAGTCCAAAGGCTATTGTGGTGCCTTCACACTAAAAGTGAGTTAGGAGCACTACGTGTTACTTACCAATGTGGTTTTCCTAAACTGGCTTGACCTCGCCTCAGCCCAAATGTCTGTCCAGTAGATTAAGGGTGCACTTTTGAAATGCTGGATGTTGATGTCTGTGTTCTCCTGCCCTCTATAGTTTGCATGTATTTCCAATGCACCTCAGTAATGACTGATACCTGCTTGTTATGTTTCTAGACTGGAGGCCCGAAATGAAACAGGACAGCATGTTCACTGCTATGTCACAGCTCTTGCTACTCGTTCAACTTTTCTGGAAAAAACCAAGAGCTTTCATCCTACCCACTGGATAAAAGAACATAACGAAAGACACTATCTCAACAAAAACGGTCTCCGTCGCCAAAACCTCACCAGGGATTGCCACTCTCGGCAAATCAAGCACAACAGACTGTTTGTTCACCAGCCTTGCCAGCGTCAGTTCAATTACTGATGGCTCTCGTGGTTTTAATCTATGGTCTAATTGTTTTTAGGTTGCTCTTGTTTTCATGCATAGTTAAGTGTGGTCAATCTGAAGCTGGTCATCAATCCTTCAAACACAACTGTAACTAGTGTTGCATTCTCTTGAAATGACACACAAATCTCTGAACATCTTGCAGCAAGTTCTAAACATTGATGTTAAATATCAATGTCTTGGAAGCCTATCAGTATGATAGTTTGTGTGCTGTTTTATAAACTATGATGTATAGATGGGTTCTTAATTGGTATTTTAAAGAAACTTAACTGAGATGGAAATCAGTTACACTTTGCATTAATCAAAGTGGAGTTAGAAAATTTGAGGTTAGCTGTATGCTTTAAAGACCAGTACTTGACAGCTTGTGTGTCTGTCTATATTCAGTATATATGATTACTTTCTAACATGGAAATTTTATAGCTGCCGGTGGATATTACATAGCTATGCCGAACTGTTACAAGAAGGACATCTAATCTAAATTGCCTAGAACCTACTTGTGTTAGTGGAATCTGTGTAGGTGTGTTGGGTACTTAATGTGGGTATCGGAAAAGGGTTAAATGTCCCCCCCAGTATTGTTGCAGTATGATATGGCACTGTGTTACAGATGTAGTACCTCACAGTGGAGTGGAAGGAAAAGTGGACCTATGGGTTAAGTGCAGACGCAGAACCCAGAGAGCTGAACTGGGTGTTACTTGGCACAGTTCGAGTTCTTACTCCCTTTCTCTAGCTCTTTCTCTTTCTGTCTTTGAAAGATGTATTTCCCCTACCCTATTTCATTTAATCTCTAGTCTAGTTAAAGGAAAAAGATGGTGGATCAACCATTCTTTTAATCCTATCAGTAGCTGACTGCTCTTTAAAGAAGTCAGGCTGATGGATAGCTATTTCTGAGCTGCTAATTGCTGTTAGATTGTCTCATATTTACAGATTGAGAGTAGCTCAAAAGTAGCTAGAAGGAAGGTTTTATCAGAAGCTGTCCTAATTTTCTCTCGTTCTCTCTATGAAAATGAAGTCTGAGTTAATTGTGACTGGAAATGAAGGGCAGTGTGTGGCAGGGAGAAGAGCATGCTGAAAAACAGTCTTACACAATTAAACACAGTGATAAGAGGGTGTATAAAAATTGAGATAAATCGGCAGTGGCTGTTCTCCTAGCCCATTGGGGGCAGAAGGACTGGATACAATTCTGTGGGCCAACAGGAAAGAAAAGCCATTCAAAACTAACAAGTAGTTTTCTTAAGAACACTGTGTGAGATGTTTTGGAAGTTGGCAGGCACTTAAAAAAAAAAAGTAAAGTTTACCTGTTTAACAAAGAGTGTGTATTACACAGCAGCCACGTGGCATGCCGAACCCTGATAGATCAATCTAGGAAGTAGATTAAATGGCTGTAGAGGTGAGGAAACAGAAATCTGCACTGAAAGAAGGGGGGAAATATAACTAAGTTTATCCCCCTTTCTGTTGGTGCTTAATGTGACTTACTGTTTTTCCTTGTGTTTAGTGCCTAGGGCATTAAAGTGTTAACATTCAACCATGTCTTCCAGTAGTCCTTATACAGAAGTTAGTATGAGTCGTCTTTGAAACTAGGCAGGATCAATAATGTGAATTATTCCAGACCTATGAAGTATTTGAAATTCAGCCAAATGCTTCAATTTCACTGAAGCAAAAACCAACAATTTGGATTAACCTTGATGTAGTGGTACTGTTGCACATTCTGCAGCTAGAATTGTTGTGGCATATACTTAGTGTACAGGAAACAACATTTATAATCTGTTTCACTGCAGATGTGCTGCTTCACTGGGATTAGTTGGGATTGTTGCAAAGGGATGATGACAAATTGTTAAATGTATAAAAGCAAGAGGTGCTTTCCTGGATACACTAGTCTTTTTTTTTTTTTTTTTATAAGACACATTGAATTCACATGGACAGTGAAAGAAAACAAAATTGGTCACATCATGTGTTTCCAGAACAGAGATTTTGTTACTGCTCTTCTCAGCAGTATGTGCCCATGTCCATACAATTTTTTTTTTTTTTTGTATAAGACACATTGAATTCACATGGACAGTGAAAGAAAACAAAATTGGTCACATCATGTGTTTCCAGAACAGAGATTTTGTTACTGCTCTTCTCAGCAGTATGTGCCCATGTCCATACAACAATTCTTTTGTGGTCCAAATACTCTGGTTTATCTGCAAATAGCTGTAGCTTCACCAATCTCTCGTCTGTTCACTGATACTCTTACTAGCCTCAGATTATCTACCTTTATCACTCCAACTTTTTGCCCAGCTTAAACTTCCTTCTCCTCACCGCCAACTCTCTAGCTCAGGAAAATTCTTTGCTTTCCTTTATTTTTCTTTTTATATAAAAGTAACTGCTTTCCTTCAGCTTTAATTTTCTTAAAGTGAAATGAAGGAAGATGGAGTTCTCCACCTCCCCGTGTTGGAAGGAGTAATCCTTCAACTTTTAACGGGGAGATGAAGTTGAGAGTATAAGGCTCCCAGGCATTACAATGAGAGCCTTGGTCTGTTCTTCTCAGTAGGCAAGTAAATGCAACTTTAGACTGCTCCTAGAATTGGGAGATACTGATCTTTTTATACTACATTACTAGATGACTTTCTGGTGATGAAAACCTATATCTTTCAGGATATAAACTGTTTTGTTGCACAAAGCTGTGCATCTCAATTTTTAATATTGGAAACCATATTATTGTGTGAGAGAGTACTGCATCAATGGCTTTTTGTTAATTTGTTTTACGTATTTATGTTGGTCTAGCCCTGTTTTGTGCCTGGAACTGTTGGGCAATTAGATTTGTTTTGGTTTTCTGTTTTAATAGCGAGCTATGTGGCTTTTTATATGGTTTTCGAATTGTATTAAAGTGTGTGTGTGTTTTTTCTTGTAAAAGTGGAGGCCTTGCACTGTCTCATACTGATTGATATTCATGAATCTTGCTGAAACTGTATTTTCATATGTATTGGTCAATAGACAGATTTGCATTTTAAACTGTGCCTTCTACACAGCAAACTTGAAGATTCAAAAGGGACATTTCAGTTAGGATTAATACTGTATGTCAGTCTATGCATATATGGCAGCTTCTCTCCAGAGCCACTTCTTTATTTGTAGCAGTCCTTTTGATATGGAAGAATGTCTGGCTCTTATTTTTAATAGTTTAACACAAGCTGAAAACCGACAAAATACAGCACTTTGCCAAAAAGTAGCGTTGCTTAACCAGTGTGTATTTACTAAAGCGGTCTTCTGTATTTTGTTTTCATAGTGCGTTCTGCGCACCATGGGGAGACATGATCTTAACTCTCAATAAAAAATGGTCTATTAAAAATTGTCAGTCTGTTCTCTTATGTTACAGGTCAGTCAAAATCCAAATGCCTGAGTACCCCATTCAGGTGTGGTAGGTGCAAGTACTGAGTATCTCAGCATGCTTGCTCTAGTACAGAAGTTCTCTTGGGAATCAGTTTCCACTGCTGATCAAGTGACAATACGTGGTCTAAGAAGTGCTTATACATCTCTGCCAACTGCTGCATTTCCTGGTCAGCATGCAGAAGTGCCACAGGTGAACAGGACAGAGACAAAAACATATTACCACTTAAAGCATGCACAGGGTCGGGGGAAGGTTTTTGCTTTATCTAGGCTGAACCTGTCTTGTTTCAACTCGTACCCATTGCCTTTCATCCTCCTACCATGCACCACCGTGAAGAATCTGTATGGAAGACTGATGTTAGCATTCAAGAGGTGGAAGCAGGGACCGGTAACCTGTGAGGGACATAGAGACCCTGTGCAAATGTCCAGGGATGGGGTCAGGGAAGCCAAGCCATCTGTAGCTGAACTTGGCAAGGGCTGTGAAGGGCAACAGGCCTTCCACAGATATATTGGCTGCAAAAGGAAGACTAGAGAAAATGTGGGCCTGCTGCTAAACTGGGCAGGAGTCTTCCTGATAAAGGACATGGAGAAGGCTGACGTAGTCCCTGTCTTCTTTGCCTTGGTCTCGGCTGGTAAGACCAGCCTTTGGGAACTGCAAGCCCCTGAGGCCAGTGGGAAAGGCTAGAGCAAGGAAGATCAACCCTTGGTTGAGAAGGGTCAAGTTAAGAAATGCTTAAAAGAGATGGGACATACACCGATCTACTGGACACATCCATGACTGGCGAAGGAGCTGGCTGATGTCATTGTGAAGCTGTTCTCAATTATTTTAAAGGTTATAGCAATGGGCAGGGTTCATGAGGGCTGGAAGAAAGCAAATGTGCTTCCTATCTTCAAGAAGGACAAGAAGAATAGGGTGAACTACAAGACAGTCAGTCTCACCTTGATCTCTGGGAAGGTGATGGAGCAAATAACCCTGGAAACCATTTCCAAACAGGAACAAGAAGGTGATTAGGACTAGCTAGAATGGATTTATGCAGGGGAAAGGATGCCTGACAACCTGATAGCCTTCTACAATTAGATGACTGGCTCAGTGGATGAGGGGAGAGCAGTGGATGTTGTTTATCTTGGCTTTAGCAAGGCTTTTAACACTGTCCCCCATAACATCCTCCCAAACTGCTGAATTATGGACCATGTAAGTAGATGGTGAGCAGGTGTATCAAGAACTGGCTGAACTGTTGTGCTCAAAGGGTTGTGATCAGTGGCATGAAGCCTAGCTGGAGGCCAGTTGCTATTGGTGTACCCTATCAATATTGTATCTTATGCTGTTAAAAACCTTCATTAATGATCTGGGTCATGGGGCAGAGTGCACAATCAGCAAGCTTGCAGAAGATAGGAGGAGTTGTTTATACATCAGAGGGTTGTGCTGCTATTCAGAAGGACCTTGACAGGCTAGAGAAATGGGCTGACAGGAACCTCGTGGAGTTCAACAAGGGGAAATGTGGAGTCTTGTACCTGGGGGAAAAATAACCCCAGGTACTAGTACAGGCTGGAGGCCAACTGGCTGGAAAGCATCTTGGCAGAAAAGTCCCTGGGGGTCCTGGTGGACACCAAGCTGACTATGAGCCAGCAGTGCACCCTTGTGGCCTCAAAAACTAAAAGCTTCCTGGGCTGCATTAGGAAGAGTGTTGCCAGCAGGTGGAGGGAGGTGATCCTTCCCTTCCACTGTGTGCTGGTGAGACACATAGAATCAAAGAATAGTTTGGGTTGGAAGGGACCTCTGAAGGTCATCTAATCCAACCCCCTTGCCGTGGGTAGGGACATCTTCAACTAGATCAGGTTGCTCAGAGCCCCGCCCAACCTGACCTTGAATGGTTCCAGGCATGGGGCATCCACCACCTCTCTGGGCAACCTGTGCCAGTGTTTCACCACCCTCAGCATAAAAAATTTCTTCCTTCTATCTAGTCTAAATCTACCCCCCTTTAGCTTATAGCCATTCCCCCTTGTCCTGTCGCAACAGGCCCTGCTAAAAAGTTTCCCGCCATCTTTTTTATAAGCCCCCTTTAAGGACTGATAGGCTGCAATAAGGTCTCCCCAAAGCCTTCTCTTCTCTAGGCTGAACAACCCCAACTCTCTCAGCCTTTCTTCATAGGAGAGGTGTTCCATCCCCCTGATCATTTTCGTGGCCCTCCTCTGGACCCGCTCCAAC